GGTACATTTGGTACCTGGCTCTTCTGCAACCTGGCTGATGTGCTCCAAGCACATGGTCCAGGCAGAAGTGCCCCCATCTCCCAAAGAACAGGGCTTAGTAAGAAGAATGGGTAGAGCTTGTGGGCCATGTGGTCCTGAGCTCAAACTTAACCCTGCTGCATTCTGGCTGTGAGCAATAGACAAGTCTTCAAACTTCAGTCTTAACATCTAAATAAAATCAACAAAATAACATATACTTTGCAGGGCTTGTTATAAGCATTGGGTGAGTATATATAGTAGGGACCAACTGGTAATGCCTTTCAACTTCTGCCCTTTTGTAGTCTGGTATAGGGTGTGCCTTATTCACTTTTGTGCCTGCAGTATCAGGCACAGGGTAAAGTACATAGCAGGAGTTCAATAAAACAGGATGAATCTTGAACCTCACCCTCTCCCTACTCTCAAAACTCTAGGGCAATAATTGGCAAACTGTGACCTGTGGGGCAAATCTGGCCCACTGCTTGGTTTTTTAAAATTAAGTTTTATTGAAACACAGCCACACTGATTCAAACACATCACTATGACTTCATGCTACAACATCAGAGGTGCATAGATGCGACACAGAACACATTGGCTTGTAAAGCCGAAAAGATTTACTGTCTGGCTCCTTATGGAAAATATTTATGGACCACTGTTCTTGTGTAGGGATACTTTCAGTGATGGAGAGCACTTGACGGCCTCTTTATTTTGGGGGAAAAATAGAATTCCTCTGCTCCTCCCCCACCATACTTTATCTCCTCTTTCCCTAGTTTATTTTTTCTTCTTAGCTCTTACCACTACATACTATTTATTTTTGTTATATATGTTGTTTATTTTCTACCTCTTCTACTAAAAAAGCTCCACGTGTGTAGGGATTTTTGCTTGTGCTAACTCCTATATACCCAGAACCTTGTCCAATGCCTAGCATATAGAGGGCATTCCACAAGTATTTGTGGAATGAATAAACACTGATTTCATTGAAGAGATTGGTTAGTCAAAGTGTGTTGAAGAGAGGACACCCTTTGGCTAACCAATCTCTTCAATGAAATCAGTGTTTATTCATTAAAAGGACCAGGGGCCCCTAATACCTATGAGGAGGGTATTACTTTTCCTATTTTATAGATAAGACGAGGGAGACTCCAGTTAAGTCAGTGATTCTCTAACATGTATATGAATCACCTGGGACCTTGTTATGATGCAGATTCTGATTCAGGGGTCTGGGCTGGGGCCCTTGATGCTAGATCTCTGACAAGCTCCCAGGTGATGCTGATGCTGCTGGTCCATGGTCCACACACTGAGGAGTGAGGCTCCAAGGCTCCCCCTCGGGGTATATACTAGCACATAGGGGGACATCCTTTCCTTTCTGTTTCCTCTTCTTTATCTCCATGCCTCTCTCAATCCTATGGTCTCCGAGGCCTGTCCCTCCTCCTCTCCTACACTGTTGCCTGTGACCAAACACCTAGCCTCCAGACCTTCCCGTCCATAGCCTCCGCCTCCAGCATCTTCAGCCCCTTCCTTCTGCCCAGGCTCCTCCACTATAACTAAATCTCTGCCCAGGACTTTCTAATCCTTCCGGAGGCCAGTATCGTGTTTCTCCTCCATTTTACAAAAAAAGGTGATCCTACTCATGGTCCCTAAGCAGGATGGCTTCCTCCTAAATCTTCATCCCTAAAACCTGTGCAAGTGATTTCTGATGGCCAAATGTCAAGGCCATGCCCAAGCCCACCCCATCCATCATCTGCTATGGCCAACTAACTCCCCCTGCTGCAAAAACCTTCTCCTCTTGGGCCTTATGTTTTACTCCTATCTGTCTGTCTGCTTTGCCAGTTCCTCTCCTCTTCTATTTCTATAATCCTGGTCAGTTCCTGGCCCTTAGCCCTCTGTTCTTGTCCTCTTTCTTCAGGCCTGCTTTCATTCACCTGGCACTCTCATCTGCCACCTCTCAGGGGAAAGTTCCAAACATCCACGTCCCATCTAGACTTCACTTCTGCATTTCCAAGTTCCCAAGGGATGTTTTTGCTTGGGAGCTCCACCAGCATTCTCATTGCAATGTATCTAGAGTCATACGCATATGACTCATGACCATTTCTCACCCCAAGAGGTCTCTATTTCCAGGATAATCTGTTCTCCCTCCCATCTACTTCTGGGTAGCTTTGGGGGAATGACTTAGCTTCTCAGAGCAATTTCTCTCCCATTAAATAGGGATAATGGTACCTACTGAACTAGGCTATTCAAAGGACTCAGTGAGCAAATGTGTGTACAAAATACTTGGCATGTGGTGGTGGTTTCCTATTTTCCTCTCCTGTATAAATGATTAAACATATATTACCTGTTCAATCCCTTTAAGTCTAGGAACTGGTTCATCTCTCACAAGTGCTTGGTGGTAGTTGGGAAGGGAAGACGGTGCTTAAGAGAAAATCTAACCACCTAAGGTTTCTCTATAGAAGGCAGGCTATTTGCAGTGGCATACAATATATGACCCTCATGGGGGCCCTGAGGTTGGTGAATATAAAATGAAGATAATTATGGAAACCCTGTGTCCTATCCAGATGCTTCTGCATCCTGCTACTGGTATGAGCTTCCTACTCTGGGACCTGTGGCACAGAACTTCATGTCTGCACCAACTGAAAGGCCTGTAAATCATTGGACCTTCAACTGCAAGTATGTGCAGATCCATCCTCTGTCCTCTCATACTGCTCATCTTGGATTCCACCCCAGCACCCAGCACACAACACTATATAAAGTGGGCATTCAAAGACCCTGATAGGCAAACTGGCTGATAGAAGGATGGGGGTGAGATGCCAGAGGTGGTGATGGGTCCCTGTATGCCCACATCTGCTGTGAAACATGCATAACCTAAGAGGCCCTGGAAGAACAGAGGGGCTCTCAGGGACTACCATTTGTGCCATGAACTCTGTGGTTTCTGAAAGGGGAAATAAACAAAACTAATATTTCACGAGTGTCAACTTTGTGCCAGGCACTTTACAAAATCATCTCATCTCCTCTTCACAACGACTCTGTGAGTCAGGCACTATTATCCTCATTTTATAATTAAGAGAAAAGAGAATCAAAAGGTTTAGAAAATTTGCTCACGGCTCTATAACCAGTGCATGATAGAGGCAGGACATGAGCCCAGAGCTGCATCACTCCTAAAGCTCATTCTCCTTCCACCATAGCAATGACACACCATATTGTTTTGTACCTCCGTTCCTTTGCAGATGCAGTCTCCTCTAATCAGAACTTTAATTTTTTCAGTAATGTGTAAAGCCATCTCTGAATACACTGATAACTATCCCCTGCAATATAAAAAATTTGTCACTCAACTAAGTGCTCCTGTACCACAGTATGTAGAGGCGTCTCTCAGCTGACGTTTCTAATAGGTGATGTTATGCTAGTCTCTTAGATAGGTTTGCATACTGTGAGGCTGAACCTCTGGGTTCTAGTCATTTCTTCATCCAGACCATCTGAAACATAATGTGCATGTTCAAAGCATGTTTGTGGGATGAATTAATAAACACATGGCATAAGTGATCTGGTACTTCCAGTATTGGTGATGGGGGTCCATTTGTTCCCATATAACATGAGGATGGTAGTACCCGTCCTAAAGACCTGTGAACCCAACACTGAGCAGAGGGGATGGGGCAGCCTTTTGCTGGCTCCATCTTTATCTGTGAAGTCTTCAGCAGGTAATGCTGTTAGGCACAGCCTCTCTCATAAAGCTGAGTTTGCCAGAGGTGAGGGAAGACACGGAGTGATAAGTAATACACTTTACTGGAAGCCAGGCATTACCTGTTTTAATCCCACTCTTTTGCTACCTGGATGTGCCATGAATTCACATCCTTCAGTCTCTTTCTAAAGTCCCTACAACCTCTCAATTTCCAAAAATAGAAAGTGCATATTAGGAATGTGGGACTAGTTCAGGGGCCTTCTAACTTTTTATCACCAAGGATCTATTGTACAGAGTTGTTCTCCTTTGCTCTTATGTTTTGAGAATCTCTGTTGTTGTTGTTATTTATTATTATTGTTATTATTATTTTGAGACAGAGTTTTGCTCTTGTTGCCTAGGCTGGAGGGCAATGGTACGATTTTGGCTTACTGTAACCTCCACCCCTGGGTTCAAGCAATTCTCCTGCCTTAGCCTCCTGAGTAGCTGGGACTACAGGCACCTGCCATCACACCCAGCTCATTTTTGTATTTTTAGTAGAGACGGGGTTTCACCATGTTGACCAGGCTGGTCTTGAATTCCTGACCTCAGGTGATCCACCCTCTTGGCCTCCAAAGTGCTGGGATTATAGGCGTGAGCCACCACACCTGGCCCTCTGTTTTATTAATAAGGAAAATAATCACTATTTTTTAGCAAGTGCAAAAAAATGGATGAGCAAGCACCCATCTATAACTTCCAACAAAATGCATTGATAACATAAGATAAATAATGCTAAACACCAAACACATAATCCCAGCCCAAAGCAAAGACACTGGATGTTTCTTTCACCTGTGAGGCTGGTTCTAGATAAAGTAATGAATCTCTGCAGATTTTCTGAAATAGCAGAAACAGCCAATGAATTCCTTTCTAAACTTTGAGCCCCCAGGGCTACCCATTCTCCAGGTAAAAACAAATGGATTCAGAAGTTGCTAAGACTGTGATTCTGTCTTATGTGTGCAAGTCCTACAGCAGGATTTGGTCCCCTGCTTGATGGAATTCAGGGTCCTAACTAGAAAATTGCACTCACAAAGGAGAAACAGCCCTTCACATCTCTAAAAATAAGAGGAAAAAAATCCAAGATGGCAGAAACATAACGAACTTGAACAATGACAGTACACTTTCAAATGGAACATATTTATGCAAAATAAAAACTTTAAGGCTACAGACAGCTTAGACAGAAGTGAAAATGAGAAACTAACAGACACTTGGTTGGTGCAGGAAATGCATGCTACAGGTTCCCTTACAGGGCACGAAGCAAAGTTAACACCAGCTCGATACTTACAAGTAATAGGAGTAGGAATAAGCATTTCTTCTATATATTGATGGGCAGTCAGATGAAGGAAATGTCCAAAATGGGGGAAAAAGAAAAGACAAACAAACAAGAATTAGATTTTTAATGAAATCTTGATTCTTAGAAATGCACATATTATTTCAGCATCCCTAAGCTCAAGGAGATGCAAGTTCCTCTACTAATCATCTTCGCTGAGAATCAGATATTTCCAGTAGTAGAAGAAACAAGAGAGACCTCTTCTATAATAGGGGAGCTCATGGCCTCACACAGAGGAAGCCAAGTTTCATGTTGGCTGTTGTAGTTGTTTCAAAGTTCTTCCTTATGGTCAGCCAAAACTAGCTTCCTTATAATTATGATTTTTTTTTTTTTGGTCGGCGGGGGGTGGGTGGGGGTATTGGATCAGCTCTCTGTGGCTTCCTAGGACTAGTCTACCACTCTTCCCTATGATAATGTCCTGTGATCTAAGCAACACCAAACTTCTGTCTCCTCTATTTCAGAAGAGACAGAATCACATCAGAGTCTATTTAGTAAGGTCATACCCAAAGCAAGGAAATCATATAGCCAGTACCCAAGATGGCTGCCCAGTGATCTGCACTTCCTAGTATTCAGGCCCTTGTGGAGTGCCCTTCCACACTGAGTCAGGGCTGGCCTTGTGTGAACAGAATGTGGTAGGAATTATGTTCTGGGACTTTCCAAGCTGGGGAAAAACATAAGAAGCCTCTCAGCTCTGTCCATAACTCTCTTAGAACCCTCAGTCTCCATAGAGGAAGCCCAATTTCCCTGAGGCTACCATGCTGGAGAGATCACAGGAGAGCCTCTGAGACTACATAAAGAGAAAGAAATGTCCCACCAGCCCCCAGCCATTCTACTTTCAGCCAATCAAGATACCTCAGCTGAGACCACTGACATCGCAGAATAGAAATAAGTCATTCCCTTTAAGCTCTGCCCAAAGTGAAGACACATGAGAAAAATAATTAACTGTTGCTCTTTAAGTCATTAGATTTTGGGGGTAGTTTGTTACATGGCAGTAGATGACCAGCACAAAGTCCAACCTTATCTTGGAAGAGCACTGTACTGTGAGGGAGGAGTTCCAATCTTCAGTCTGAACGGACTCTACCTTGAATAAACTCTCCGTGCCTTCATTTCTGCATCTGTCCCTTAGGTGCATTAAACTAGATCAGTAATTTTCAAACTGTGTTCACAGAAGTCTGGGGGTTCTATAGCAGGCACTGTGTAATGAAGAAGGAGGGTACTGAGCAAGTGAGGCTGCTGGCCCCCACCATCCACCAAAGCACCTGCACTTTCATCTATTTTATACATTGAAGTTTCATTTAAGATATATGGCTGAGAATTCCATTCTCTAAAAGAAAGCTTGCCAAATCACTGGCTTCAATCTCTCTCCAATGTCCCTACTGGCTCCTGGCTTCTAAGCAATCACAAAACTCAGATAAAAGCATGATATTCCCTCTGTTATGACTTTTCTTATGTTGTAAGAAAATAAATAGGCATGTTCTTATTTCACATCAGATTTAGCTATCGTGACAATAAGTGATACATTTGCAGATTGAGAAAAATGGCTAGATAATTCAGGTCTCCAAATATCCATCTGAGTAGACAAGAATGGTTTCCTTTTTTCTTGAATTATTTGATTACTTGCAACCATTATCCCATTTGCTTGGTACAGGAAAATACAGTCTTTATAACTGCGGAGTGGGGGGACATGTCTTCATAGCCCTAAATTTTCCCATCTCAAGTAGGAAATACCCAAAGCTCCCAAGATGGGGCTATCTCTAGTCTTTCTTTCATCAATTGGCAAAGCCCAACCCTACATACCAGAAGGAAAGTGAGTCTAAAAGATAGGAAGCCACAGAAGAAGGAAAGCCCCACACCTCCTTAAGGGGCTGAGCTGGGGAAAATGAGCCACAGTGCAGCAAGATCTGGTCACAGAGAAAACTGTTCAATATCCTAGACTGAAAGAACGGTGACCCTAGATGATGAGAAGGTGAAGAACTGGGGACTGCGATGAGTGGGAATTGGAAGCTCCTACAGAAAGTCATCAAATCCCCCTCACCAGCCATACAGGTTGGCACTGTAAGGTGATCATTTCTCCACCTCACTGCTGGCAGGTTCAGTGTCTGGAAAGTGATTCCCCTGGGACATAAAACTCAGGATCCATTTGATGAAGACTTATAGGACACCTGTGTTTTCTGTATTGTCAAGAACACTGAGCTGAGAATCAAGAGGCCAGCATTATAATCTCAGATCTTTCAATTGCTCATTGTGACATCTTGGGCAAGTAAGTTCTTCTTCTTCCCTTTGGACCTCTATTTCCTGATCCATGCACTAAGGTGGACAGCATAGATGATTGACAGCTCAAACACCTTTGAGGAGTGGAAATACAATAAGCCTTAGCATCTCAACACCATCACTTGACTAACTGCATGACCTCGAACAAGTCACTAAACAGCCCTGAGTCCCAGTTTCTCTCTCTCAAGCTTAGGGGCAATAATTATGTATTCCCAAGAATCACCATAGGCACTAGCATTGTATTAATCTAAATTATACTCACATTAGATATGATATGTAATATATAAAGTATTTTATGTAAATTACATTAATCTAAATTGATATTAATCTAAACATCTGGAATGTATTAGGGCTCAATAAAGGGTGGTTTATGTCTGCACCTCATCCACAGACATAAGGTTTACTGCTTTTTATTCTGGTCACCAGGAACAAAGTGTTCCCCTCTTTAGGAATAATAAAATAAGAACAAATACTTACACAGCACTTACTATGTGCCAGGTATTGTTCTCAGCTTTAGCACACATTATTAACTCATATATTCCTCACAGCTGCCCTAAAAGATAGGTATTATTGCCATTCCCACTATTCTGATGGAGAAACTGAGGCAAACAAGAAGTAACTTCATATCACACAGCTAGTTAACTGGATTTGATAGCAACATGGCTCTAAGGCTTATAGCTCATGTTCTTGACCTCAAGCCTGTGCTGCTTTCAAGGAAGGAAGAAAATGGATATATCTTGAGAAATTTGGGGAGTCAGGCATTGGGATGTCACAACTTACCTCTTTCAATCCTCCCCACAACCCTGAGGAGCAGATAAAATTACTCTCACTGTCCATATCTCACTAGGTCAAAGGCTCTGTGTATCTCTGGACCAGTTGCAAGGCTTCCATTCCGAGCTGGATGCCCTTACTGTCAGCGGCCACCTCCTCCTCAGCTACATTGAGCATTCTGACCTAGTTTTTCTGCTGTCAACCTTCAGGATTCACCTTGGCGTGAGCTGAGAAAACATGCTTCCTTCTTCACCTTCAAACCACAGACCACCTTTTCCAAGTTGCTTTTCTGAGTTATCCTGGGTGTCACCAAAAGCCTTCTGGTGCTGTCTCTGACCCAGCAGGAAGGCAACTCCAGGATAATGGTAACTGACAAACTTCTATTCATTGAATCTTTTTTCCCAGTTAAACTGCAAAGTCTTCTAGGTCAAGTATCACAGGTCTTTACTCTGTGACCAAAACAGTTTACATGTGTGTTTTTTTCTAAACCTTGAAGAAGATTTACTGAAGGTCTAAATTTACAAGAATACAGTGATATTGCAAGTAACAGATTGCCTGAAACCAAAAATCCTAAGCAGGAAGACAGCTGTGCTTAGAAAACAAAACAAAACAAAACAATAACCCCAAACTTAATAAATCACATACTGCAGAACCTTATTTCAGCCAGCTGACAGGATTGACTTCAGGCACAGTTTTCTTTTGTTCCATACAATTTAAACAGGACAAAGTTGTCTATCTAACCACCCATTTGACTTTCTACCCATCCATCTAGGTCATAAACCCACCCGTTCAGCCATCTATCCATCCATCCATCCATCCATGAGCTTATCCATGCATGCATGTATGCCTGTATGCCTGCATGTATCCATCCATCCATCCATCCATCCATCCATCCATCCATCCATCCATCCATCCATCCATCTGTCCATCTACCCACCCACCCATCCATCCAATAATCCATCCATCGTCCATTTATCCATCTTTCCATCATTAATCCAGTGGAAACTTCTCAAGGGTCTATTATATCCTTATCTCTGTCAAGTACAGACAGAAAGACAAATGAGATCCTAATCTAGTCTATATGTCTTCTGAGAGAGTCAGACAAGCAAATTATAAAGCAGATGATAATAGCTATCACTTAAATAGTGGGAGAACAATTTTGTGTCAGGTACTGTTTTAAGTATATTGCATGAACTATTTTATTTAATCTTCACAGTAACCTTATGAGGCATTATTATCCTATTTACAGATGAGAAAAGTGAGGCTCAGAGAGGTTAAGCAACTTTCTCATGTTTACACAGTTGTTAAGTGGCATGGCAGGGATTTGAATCCAGGGAGTCTGATTTAAAGAGCCTGTATTAATAGCTATTATGTTGTATTATCTTCTGTCATGATCAGTTCTATGATAAGGCAACGCAGGGAGCTGTGAGTCTATACCCGGGGATAGGGGTGAGGAGGGAAAACAGGCAAGATAGCCCAGAATCTGGGATGCCTGAGTGGTAAAGTAAAAGAGAAGTCAGATGGAGGAGAGGAGAAGGGAATGTTTAGGCAGATGGAACTGTGTTTGTGGTTTGGGCAGATGGGTTAACAAAGTGGGAACAGAAAGATGTTGGAAGGGCTAGTTCCCAAAGAATTTATGGAGCTTGGTCTCAGTCCCATAGGTCACAGGGAAAACCCAAGAAGTCACATGGCCAAATATTTGTTGTAGGTGAATAATTTTTAGCAGGAGGGTGAGGAGAAAGTCAAAGGCAGAGTGATCGTGGTTACACAATCACTGACTGGCCAACACAAGAAATATTTGTTGGGGGCTTCCTTTGCAGGGGCCATGGGGATGGGGAAGGTCAGCAGTGTGCAAGGTGGTTAAGACACAAAATCAAAAGGTGATTAAAAGTGAACACATTGAAGAGGACTTCCAAGTTCCCAGCTTAAGTGGCTGCCCACGT